CCTTTGATATTTAAACTGCACTGCTCCTACTGTGTGCTTTTTTCACACTCTCCCTGATCTATAAGGGGTGCTTTCTTTATTTGATCATCAACAGAAGCAAAATGCTAGGCCACGAACTTTTCGAAGCGTGACCAGATTCAAAGTATGCTTAAATGGGGGCATTAATGTATGTAGAAAAAACAGGATTAAGATCCCATGCAACGCTTCGAAAATTAAAAGAAGAATAAGAAAAATAAAGTTGAGATTCAAACTTTATGTCTAGACGTTGCATAATGCAATTCGTTTTGGTATTTTATTCCATCTCAGAGTGATTATAGAAGTTATTTTTTAAGGATAATAAAGATAAAGCTGTCCGGGTTTTTAAAGATAATGCGTCAAAACAAATCGAACAAGCTGTTTATTTCTTTATTCATTGTCTGTTTCTACTGTTTATCTATTTTCATTGCCAACCCTCGAAAACGAATTTAGTATGCATTTCACAGAGGAAGTTTGCATAGGAGAACTCTATATATTTATATATATATATATATATATATATATATATATATATATATATATATATATACAAATTATTTATTGGGCTTATTTTGCTTTCTAATGGATCCGTAAAATATGGCACAGCTTTAGGGGCCTGGAAGAGCCCCTACTAAGGGTTCCAGGGTGGAGCCCCAGATGCTCTCGAGTTTATTTGACTTTCAAGAAAAAGTGTCTCTAAGGTATAAAGAGAGGTTATTTCTTCAATGAAGTGAAAGGAATCATGAAAATAAATTGGCCCTTTCATTTTATTTTAGAAATAAACTCTAATCCATCCTTTGATATTTAAATTGCACTGCTCCTACTTCGTGCTTTGTTCACACTCTCCCTGATCTATAAAGAGTGCTTTCTCTATTTGATCATCAACAGAAGCAAAATGCTAGGCCACGAACTTTTCGAAGCGTGACCAGATTCAAAGTATGCTTAAATGGGGGCATTAATGTATGTAGAAAAAACAGGATTAAGATCCCATGCAACGCTTTGAAATGTAAAGAAGAATGAGAAAACTAAAGTTGAGATTCGACCTTTACGTCTAGACGTTGCATAATGCATTTCGTATTGGTATTATCTCCCGTCTGACAGTGATTATAGACGTTATTTATATGGATAATAAAGATAAAGCTGTACGGGTCTTTCAATATAATGCTTCAAAACAAATCGAACCAGCTGTTTATTTCTTTATTCATGGTCTGTTTCTACTGTTTATCTATTTTCCTTGCCAATCCTCGAAAACGAATTTATTATGCATTTCACAGAGGAAAGTTTGCATATTGATGAAACATATGGGCGCAGGCCAAGATTTAAACCCACGTAAGTGTGAATTTGGCGCATCTTCCCTCATCTTCTTTAACCAGGAAATGGACTTCATTGTAGCCTTAGGACAGGATGGTGAAATAAAATTGATAAAAGAACATCATAATCAGATTCTCCGACCCCGGAAACCCCATGAATTCATCAACTTTTATCATACTGGTCCTTTTCCTTTTGAAACTATGCTTGACCTTTAACTCGGATGGCGGCCATTCTTTATTTGGCCAATATGGCCAGCATGACAGCCCCAAGGAGACCTGTAATTGATACAAGCAACATCATAATCAGATTCTCTGACCCAGAAAACCCCCTTTCTATATAATTTGTTTTTTATCATTTAAGCTCTTTTCCTTTTGGAACTACTATTGATCAGTAACTATCAAATGGCGGCCATTTTGGATTTGACCAATATTACCAGTATGACCCGAGGAGATCTCAAATCGATGAAAGAATATCATAATCAGATTCTCTGACCCCGAAAACCCATAAATATATAAACTTTTATCATACTAGCCCATTTTCTTTCGTAACTACACTGGACCTGTAACTATCAGAAGGCGGCCATTTTGGATTTTACCAATATGACCAGTATGGCAGACCCTAGGAGACCTCAAATCGATGAGGAACATCAAAATCAGATTCTCTGACCCCCAAAACCCCATAAATATATAAACTATTATCATACAACCGCTTTTCCTTTTGGAACTACGCTTGACCTTTAACTCAGATAGCGGCCATTTTGGATTTGCCCAATATGGCATACCCAGAGGGTGCCCTCTTGGCGGCCGGAAGAAATCGTAAAAGTATGGTATAATCTACCTCTTGGCCAAATCTGGTACTTTTAGAAAAATCTGCACCAAACAACCCCTATTTAGCCCTAATAGCCTCCACTATATTGACTAATTATATGTGTGGACTAGAGTACGGACATTCGGTGCGGCAGGCGGACTATTGGTGCGAGACCTCTTCCGCACGGATTGTCCGTCAGACATTTGAGGCGCGCACGGAATGTCCGACACGGACATTCTGCGCGGATAAAATCCGCACCGATCGTCTGCTCTCGATCGATCTCTAATAGTCGGACGATCGGTGCGGGTTACATTATACGCGGTCACACCGGCCCATGTATTGTTATTATTCATGAATTGATTAATTAACGATCACCGTATTTTTTAAAGTGGAGCTGAATCGGTATAATCGTATTAGCTAAATTTTACACATTTTGGGGTCTAAAATTACCTTCATAGCAATTTTAGGTCCCAAATGGGCATTAGAAATGTCATAGATAAGAATAAGTGCAATAAGCATGCACTTTGAAGGCATTTGCGGTCTGAAAAAAGAGTTCAACTGTCCCATTAAAGAACAAAAAGAATGCTGAGTAAAACATTTTTCAGCGGAGGAAGTGAAGTATTTGTCAACTGCTTAGTTAATGTTTTGCCCAATCGCATTCATCGTTAACCAATATTTAGGATATATTAAGGAAAAAAAATGCCAACATTTAAAAAGAAAGGCCTGGAATTGCCTAAAAGTTGGGAAAACAAAATGACACCCATGTGGACGAATTTGTACCTTACATCTCTTTACAGTGTATATTGATTCTTGGTTATCTTACACGATTCTTCGAGGTCAATTCAGTGTGATCTCTCACATGAAGTTAGAGCGGATTCGACGTTAGGATTTACTCTGCCATAATATAACCAAGGAAAGACAAAAACCACTGATAGTTATTACACGTGAATAGGAAATAGGAGAAGAAATCAGATATTACACAATTTCCTGTTAGTACCAGTGTGTGTACCATGTGCGGATCTACGGGGGGGGGGGGGGGGGGAGTCGACGCCCCCCCCCCCCCCCCTCTGACCAAAAAAAGTTATTAAAAAGTATTTTTTTAAAGTATTGAAAAAAAACGAATTTTCTCACGAATTGTGAAGAAGAAAAAAGAGTGCTCGTAACCCGAGTTTACTTCTAAAATGAAATGAAAGAGCCATTTTACTTTCAAGAGTCCTTTCATTTCACATTGTTATATAACAAGTCAGGTTTGGCCCCATTTAAAACTCAATGATCTATTACATCAAATTAATCATTAAGAATCATTAAGAATAATCATTGAACAAAATTTGAATAACAAAGAAGTATTTGGGGATTTGCACTTACCTAGACAATTTTTATTGAAATTTGAAACTTTGAAACGCTATTATTACGATTACTCATATTATCGCTTATTTAGGAGCGCTAAAAACAAAAGTACCATAGCTCTTACAAAATCAATAAACATACCATTAGAATAAATTTCGGGAATACACTCTCTTTTTAAGATATTGACACACACAAAATGCTAGACTTCAGGTAGCTCATGCTGCAATCATTATTATAAACGTTTAGTTAAGTCAGGAATCACATGACGTGTACAAGAGCAGGCGCGAATCCACGCCCACCCCCTGGCAATTTTTTTTTTTAAATCAATTCAATTTTTGAATTTTTTTTAAATTGCTTATTCACCGAATGGCCGATTCGCCACTTAATATTTCCTGAAAAATTGGACCAAAACAAAATATTGCTCTAAAGAAAGTGTCCTTACCTCCCCCTCCCAACCCCCAACCCCCGGTTATTCATCGGCTGGCTGATTCGCCACTCAATATTTTCTCAGGAATTAGTCCCCCCCCCCCCCCCCCCCTATTGCCGCCGACTGGATCCGCCACTGGTGTGTACTATCTTTAAGAACACAAAGTTAGTTTCCTGTCGAAAGTCTAACAAGTTCCTGATATTAACACACCTCCCTCCAAAACAACCATATAAGGAATTGGTTGAAATAGATTCCGGCAGGTTTGGATCCCCTATACTCTCAACACAATATAACTCATTATTCAAACTGACGGGGAATCACCGAAAGCTCAATGTTCTGCCATCCTATCCGTTTGAATCTATCTCAATTATCGTGGTAGTTTCGTGAATACAAACATGATAAATATTTACAGGCATTTACGCACGTGTACGTGAACAATACAAAGAACGTGCGATCGTACAATAATTTACTGGTAAAGGTGAAAGCGCTTTGTGATTCTTACGCACCAATATCGCGGATGTTTATTCTGCATGACCGTGACGACGACGATATGACGTCATGTTCTCATTCTCTTTCAAAAAATACTTTATTTGAACGGAAAAGGAAAGGTATCGTGTATAGCGCATAGTGATGGAATTAATATTTACGTCTTAAATTAATGGACTTAAGCATCAGCTGGAGGAAGGAAGAGGTGAGGTGAGGTCAGTGAAGTACCAGTTATCGTGCAGACGGTTAGCCTTGTGGATCGGTTCAGTAACTTCTGACGTCTCGTTTGTCAGATAACATGAATTGGATTGGCACAACTGGTTTATTGCTACGAGATATATTATTGTTTACATGACCAAAACAGCTTGAGCAATTTGTGCAGCCCTACAAGGAAAAGTCGCACTACGAAAGACGTTATAGATTGGATTTGCATTGGATTAGATATGATTTGATTGAATGAGATTTGATTAACATTTGTTTTATTGAGTATTTCAACAAAACTTGCCACAATGGGAATCTTCATTAAAGGACAGTTCTTATTGACAATCCTGTTGAATTTGATATCAGTTTGCGTCTGTGAAGAACATGTGAACTCCGCATTTTTCACTCCATACGTTATCGAGTGTCCAGTTGTACCGCTACCGACAGGTAATAGCAGTTGCCAATGTGACCCTCCAAACATCACAGTCACAGACACTGACTCCCTTGCTGCATTTCAGCATGTCTCATGCAAATTGACCCCTGATTTAATCAGTGCTACGAATCCGGATCCATTTTATTTCCCGCGATCCAGGAGAGTGTACATTGATTGCTCATGGAACAATTCTCTCAGTTATTCCGACTTTTTGAAGAGCGCGGTAAAAGAATGTGGCGACATCGCCGAGGAAGTTGATCCCTTTGGCCATGTCGATTGCTTTACGCCCTTCAACATCACCGCCGATACGTATATGGGTCTACCTAGTCTGCAGAAATTAACCCTCGCTTTAGAGGATGGTATTTCCATTAAACCCGATGCCTTTTCTCCCCTCAAAAACCTTGAGGTACTGTCACTGGTTCAACTTGATTTAAAGTCTCTGCATCCGGAGGTTTTCAGAGGTTTGACCCACCTTCGGCAACTAAGTTTGTGGGATAATGACATTCGAGAACTTCCCGATGGCATCTTCAATGATCTTCAAGACTTGCAGGTACTGTCCCTCCGGAGCAATAGCATTACGCACATCTCCCGTGACCTTCTGAAACCCCTCGAATTCTTGAACACATTATACCTAGATGACAATAACATTTCATCCATACACGCTGATGCGTTCCGGTCGATGAGGTCCCTCGAAGAAGTGGATTTGTCACGAAATAACCTTGATGAGAAGTTCAGTCTGAGTTTCTTAGGTACTGAGAAGCTTTTACTCTCCTACAATTCATTGACTTCATTCACAGAGGACACTGTGCCAGGAGTCCGGGGATATACAACCTCGTTAGATTTGTCACATAACTTAATATCGTCCATTTCCGAAAGTGTTTTTCAAACAGATGAGTTACTTTCTTCGCTTTCGTACGTCGTTCTCCGTAACAACCGTCTCGAATCGTTACCAACGAATGTCTTACGATGGGCAAGAAGACTCACATTCATCGACTTTAGTTATAACTCTTTAGAGACTCTCCACGATGGACTCTTCGATATCCAGTCGAACCCTCTCGGGGAACAGAGACTAGCTGGAAATCAGTTGGTGGTTAGGCTAGGTGGTAACCCTTTCACTTGCGACTGCCGTCTTACTTGGTTTCGTATTTATGACGGGCAGGATGTTTGGATAAGTGATCGCGATGACATCGAATGCTTTTCACCACCCAACCTGAATGGAATACCATTATTCTCAATAAGGCCTGAGCATTTTGAGTGCCCCTTGTCCGATTCTCTGTGCCCTGAACATTGTCAATGCTACGAGGTTTTGAAGGATCTAGGGCTTCAAACAGCTCGCCGTGTGATCAATGTCGAATGTGAATCTGAAAATCTAACACGTATTCCGCGAGGCATACCAAGCAATACTTCATCGTTGGACCTAACCGGGAATATCTGGAACACTCTTAGAAAAAGTATGCTTAAAACTCGAATGCCATTCTTAAGCGACTTGACGCTTACTAGGTGTAGTATCGTGAGGATAGAAAGCGGAGCGTTTAGACTCTTAAACTCAGTCCTGCAATTGAAACTCGACGGAAATAATTTTCGCAATATAACGAAAGGGACGTTCCAGGGATTGACTCGACTTAACACGCTGTATTTAAACCACAGTTCCATCAGAACTATTGCTGATGGGGTCTTTCTGGACACCCCAAGTTTAACCTATCTCTATCTACACGGAAACTTTCTCACCGTCCTCCCTGCTATCCAGCACTTCCCTCAAAGTCTCGAAATAGTGAGCCTCCAAGAAAACCCACTAACTTGTAGCTGTAACTTGATCTCATTACAGGGGTTGGTCAAGTACACATTAGAGGTTAAGGGCAATGTAACATGTCGGGAGCGCGACGGTACCACCGTATCATTAGCTAACCTCGATTCCTCTTACTGCAGGAAACATGGGACAAGTCCATTACTCGCACCACTTGCATCGCTTGGTGCCATCACTGGTGTTCTCGTGGTTGTGCTCATTTGCGTTTTTCTATACAAAAAGAACAAAACGCTCTTCCAGCTCATGTTACTGCGTTACTTTCCTCAAGACCTGTCCGAAGATGACGCGAACAAACCCTTCGATGTCTTTATCTCCTATTGCCAACTTGACGACGAATTCGTGCTCCGTTACTTGGTGCCACTTTTGGAAACTGAAGATGAGCCTTCTTACACCATCTGTCTCCATCATCGTCACTTTGTCCCAGGCGACACCATCGCGAACAACATCGTGAGCGCCGTGGCGCAGAGCCGTCGTGTCATTCTCGTCTTGTCAGACAACTTCCTGCAGAGTGACTGGTGCATGTACGAGTTCCGTATGGCTCATCTTCAAGCGTTGCACGATCGCCGTAACACATTGCTCATCATCACTCTTGGAGATATCAGCCAAGACTCTCTCGATCCTGACCTGAAGGCATACATAAGAACTACAACCTATCTCGAGTCTTTTGATTCGAAATTTAAAAACAAGCTCTTTTTGGCGCTGAAAAGAGGGCGCTCGAACCAAAGAACAGCACGGAATCAAATCAAACTCGTTGATTTTGATGGAATATGATATGTCCGTCGCATCTGTAGCAATAAAAGTAATATTATAGTGATACTATTAAGACTGTTGTCAAGGTTACGCGTTCGTCTGTGTTCGAAGAAGCAAGTATAATCTTTATACCACAGAATAAATGTCATTCGTGAATAGTGTTTAGGACAACGGAATAGCCATGGATTTCTACATGATTATTAATGGATGAAATAGAAAATCAAACTCAACACTCCGAGAAGTGTAAACCCGTTGGCTTGGGAGTAACTTGCATACCAAAACGGTATTTGAAGAATGACGCGATGTTTTAAATTTCCTTGACATTTTGAAGTAGGAATTCACATTTATTTACTTCGCATTATTTGTACAATGTGGTAAACATAATGATCAGTGCAATAAATAATTCAAAAAGTAGAAGGAACCGAAAATCAGGAAAGCAAGGCTCGTGCTGGGTATGCCCAATACCACTTATAAAAACAAGTTCTTGACTTGTATTAAAGAACAATATTATATTGATACGATTCTTGCATCTAATAAGAAATCGATTATAGACACAGTAGATGGAGACAAAATGAAAATGGAGTTAGGCATGGGAGGGTAAGTTCATTTGAACGACATGTTAATAAGTAAATTATGTATATTGATTCGAGGATACTATAGTATGAGATGTTTAAGATTTAATTCAATTCAATTCAATTCATTATATTCATCCAAATTCAAAAGAATACATGGAAATTTGTTTTGGTCAAACATTGTAAAAATACGTAATATATATATGGTGTATGAGAAACTATATCGCTGTGTTTATAATCATAGAAGAACCATCAAAATAAGAGGTAGACAAAATTTTAAAAATGTAATATTCTAGTATTACTCATCTGGCCCCAGGCCCTCTCACCCACACCTCGCACCCACACCCGCTTTGGAAATCGTGCCTGTTCTGTCTGTGCCCCCCAACTTTGGAACAATCTTCCCCATGAAATACGCGAGTCCCAACCTTAGAAACATTTAAGAGTAAACTTAAGACTTATCTGTTCAACATGTAATGTAATGTAATCATATTTTGTTTGTTAAACTATAAAGCGTTATGTAAATATTTACTATTATTATTGTATGATTGCTATTAAGAATTTGTTATTATAATTGTGTATCATGTATATTGTTGTAATTTGTAGGTTAACATTACTTTAATTTTATTTTTGTTAAGCGCTTAGGAACTTTGTATTTAGCGCTATATAAATGTAATTTATTATTATTATTACTCATTGAAAATGATGAAAAGGATATAACATCAGTGTGAAGGAAGAAAGGAAGGAAGGAAAACCACACCAAGCCGATACTTGGGTCCACATGCTCCTCACTCCATTTGGTTGTACACCGAACGGAGTATGGAACTTATGAGCTCAAATATCGGCTTGTCCGACATTTCAATGAGCGCATTCTCCTTCCTGGCCTTAATAATTCATATAAGTAACTTAGATTGTGATTCTCATTTGCAATGACACCATCATCTAAATCTAATAAAGATTGTACTTTAAAATAGGCAACATACATCTTATTCAAAAAGCGGCTGACAAATAAGGTCTAGAGGAGTATACAATGTTATATAATATATGACAAAGAATCGACATACCGGGCAACAGATGAGGTATTTAGTACGTCAATGATCGAAATAAGATGGTAACAAATAGCGTCACTGAACTGTGGGAATTATTTGAGAGCCGTGGATAAACATTTCATGAGCAATTAACACTACTATGGTACTTCAACTAATCTTCTTTAAAATTGTGTATTTTCTGCGTACATTTCTTTATATTTATAAACACAGGGTTAGATGATGCGTTTTATAATGATACACTTTTGTCTGCCATAGCTATAACAACAATGTGACCTTCGAATATCTTTACTTTTAGATAAAGGTGAGTTCTGGTTTAAAAAAGAAAATGAATTCTCACAGAATCAAACGAAACTTACATTGAATGTTCAAGATTACAAATAAATGTCATTTGCCAAACAAATTTGGTAGAAAATGTATACTGGCTGAGTAATGAGCATAGAAAGATTAGGAAATCATAGTAGCCCCGACACCACTTGTGCAGTCCCATACACATCTTTATGTGTACAGTGCTTGTTACTTTCCCAAGCCTGTGCCAAATTTATTATGATTTTAATGACTCCAGACCTTGACACACCAATACTTACATGCTATATGATCAACTTTTTCTGATCCATTCCACACCTTTCTTTTACAATGCAATCGGATGACCAGAACTCACCTTTATCTTTAATGATTATTATTTAAGACTATCTTACTTGATCAATTCTACCAACACCAATTCTACATTTTTATTTAAAGACTGCAGTGTTTTCAAAGTTTTCTTTAATTTCATCTTACCCGCGATTTACGTGTATAAGATTGCGCATATAGCAAGTCGGATTCGGCTTCACCAGATACAATAGCCGAAAAACAGCTACCGAGGTATGCCAGTGGTAACAATGTCATAAGTAAAAAAAGTACCCGCGGTAAAAAATGTCACAGGTAAAAATGCAAGTGATAAAAATGCCGGGCAACAATGTCAGAAATAGAAATTTCAGAGGTAAAATTGCCAGAGGTGAATTGTCAGAGGTAAAAATACCCGAGGTAAAAATGTCACAGGTAATAATGCCCGAGGTAAAATGCCAGTGGTAACAATGTCAGATATACAAATATCAGAGGTAAATTTGCTCGAGGTGAAATTGTCAGAGGTAAAAAAAATCGAGGTGAAAATGCCAGTGGTAACAATGTCAGAAATACAAATGTCAGAAGTAAAAATGCTCGAGGTGAGAATGTTAGAGGTAAAAAAAAGTGAGTAGTAATTATGTCAGAGCAGGGTCATTGAAGGAATATCAGGCTCTCATTCCCACTTCTATAAGTGTCGATATTTTCCGGACTTGCCGCATAAATTAAAATATAAGAAAACCGAGAAACTGTCTGTGTTTTTTTTTCAACCTCTGTTGTTGTACATCTACAGTGTACACGTACCGTATATGGCAGTTCCCGAATGAAAACCAATACAGAGATATTGCACGTGGCATGGCGTAAACAAATTACAATGGTAGGATTAGTTAAGGAAAGAAAAGTCAAATACTTTGGTCATGTTAAAAGGCACCAAAGCCTCTTTAAGTGTATTTTCTTATAATGTCGGTATACTTCTGCTCATACTAAGGGTCATGCCCACAGTACAAAAATGTCAACAAATGTGGGTAGTGCGGGATGAAAAGGCAGAATTTCTTCTTACAGTCCTTTTATCGCAAATGTGCTGTAGTCGGTTGGTATCACATGACTGGGAATGCGTTTTAGTTCGAGCTCCCGGCACGGCACCTATGGCCCGAATTCACAAAGGAGGTTTGTCGACAAACCTCCTTTTGTTCGTTACAAACCAGGTTTGTAAAAAACGCGTAAAAACGCGTCATATGACGTACGAAAACCAAGGTCTGTCGACAAACCTCCTTTGTGAATTCGGGCCTTTGTGTCCGTGGGAGTGATTCACAAATACTAACAATTCCTGGCATTGGTTTTTCAAGGGACGCACAAATCGTGGTCGCAAATCTACAGAATTTAGTTCATTATTGAAGGAAAAAATATTATCTAAAGATCATAATTGAGAGACCAATTATGAGAGCAAACAATGGTATGAACAACCTGCCGTAGTTAAGTCCAACTTAAAGTCGATCTTAATTAGTCTTTGTGAAACACCCCCTTGAGCAACTAGGCATTTTATCCACATTGCTCCTTTCCACACATGCATGTGTTCAATGAGCTACCGGTAGGATACGAACATCATAGTGGTTGGATTATCATCTGCGCGCTCGTCAAAATTAATGGCACCTAGTTGGAATGTTCCCTAGGGAGAGGAGAATGTACACTATAACGTGCGGAATAGTAATTGACTCCAGTGAATGGGTAATCTGTGAGTGCTTCGGTCGGTTAGTGGAAAAGCTATAGAGTACAGAAGCTGTGACGTCATAAAAAAATATTTTTAGGATTTCTCAATTTTGTCTTCATTTTCCGAAAGAGCACAAACAATAATGTCCAAATGTCGAAAACCAATTGAATATGTTAAGTATTGGCTGAGATATGATCACCGGAATGAATATATTTCTATAGAAACTCAGTGTTATATGCTCTGGCTCCTAACCATTGGGAGCTAGAGCATATAACACTGAGTCCCCATATATGCAAGCTTTTTATTCAGATGGTCATATTTCAGCCATTGGTTTTCGACATTTGGACATTATTTTTTATGCTCTTTCGGAAAATGAAGAAAAATTGAGAAATTCTAAAAATTGATTTTTTTTTTGATGACGTCACACTTCACCACTCTATTGATAAGACCTGACAGGTAGTATCAGTACCATATGAATATAGTAGCCTGCAATCAATGAAAACACATCCGAAACCACCACACACACACACTCTCACACATTTACATCCTCTTAGATCGCCCACACATTACCAAAGGTCAAGACCTAATTTTACACAAATGAAAGCGAGCCCCTGCGTCCCAATTGTCTGATTGTTTTCGTAAGCCCAACACCGTTTGTATCACCATTTTTAGAATTGACCCACAGTCTGTGTCCATATGCATTCCTTTATTTATCACCAAATGACTGTACAAGCATAATTATGTTTTACCTCTGTCCAATGAGAAATATAAGTACTACGGTTTCGAGCATACACGCGCTCTCTTGATGTAGAGGAGTGGTAAACCCACCTCCTGGTAAACCCCTTCTTTTTGGAGTCGTGTATAGCGGTCGCTCTGTTTGGGGTTGAAGCAGCTATAATTAATACTGGAATACACTCCAAATAAGTGGTTTGAATTACTCTTTTGAGAAAGGATTCCACCATCTGGTCGAGGGTTTTAACTCCAAAGCGAATTGATCCCTAATCTATACTAGTAAAAGGAGAGAATTTCCACTATTTTGCATTTAGATCGTAGCACAATAACAAAGAACTGAATATACATTTTTCGATGAAAGTATAGCTTTTAATGAAGATATCAATCATAATGCTCACAAAGTAGCCAATAATTAGTACTGTTCACATAATACTCAAAGTAGCATTGTTTAAAGATTAAAATTATGAGAAAGATCCAAGCACTTAAAAATAAAGTTGAGAAAGTAACTATCTTGAAGCAATGGGATAAGTTGATTTAGCATATAAAAAATTGTGTACACTGTGCTGTGAATCATCATCAAAATCATAATAAATTGACCCAGCCTTGCGGAAGGTCACATGTACTACACACAGAAGTGATTTCACATGCGCATGGTATGACGGTTTGGTCCAAACTTTTCAGCTCTTTCTTGTCGTATTTCGAATGTCGGAGGTATTTGAAGAGCCATCTTTTATCAGACAGTCAGAGCACATTATTTCTCCTACGACATCCTTCCAAACTTACAAAAAAGAAATAATATTTCAAACCTATGAACTGTTATATTCACTCTTACCAGTGTCCCGTCTTATAAAGGGTTGCGATTGATCCAAATATATCGCAAGTCCTCCGATCAATCGCAAGTTTGCAGTCTCTAATCTCGTATCTACATACAGTGTAGTTGGAATTGATATCAATCGATCGCACATAGGTTGCGATCAAAAGCAACTCTTTATCAGACGGGACCCCGAACTTAACTGTCTCTTTGACATTTTAAAGATTTTAAACACAGGGCAGTAAT